ACTATGGACTCTTTTTTGACCGCTTTGTTTAAGATGCAAAATTACAAGTAATGTTCTTTAAGGTAATGGCTAATGTAGCTATTTTTTTAAATGTATATTATATTATATTATATTATATTATATTATATTATATTATATTATATTATATTATATTATATTATATTATATATTTTTATATTATATTATATTATATTATATATTTTTATATTATATTATATTATATATTTTTATATTATATTATATTATAATATATATTATAATATATTATTACCACTTTAATAATAAATAAAGTCTTTTATCATAATGCCTAAGTGATCATACATGATGCAGGCTTCATGTACAGTAAATATGAATCATTGTGTTAGTCAGTAATTGCCACTGTATATGTCAGAAGGTTACGCCTCTGTGTGTAAAGCAGAGTCAGTAGCAGTAACCCTCCAGACTAGGGTGCACTGGGATTCAGCTGCAGTCGGTAGGGAAAAGTGGATTTGTTTTTGTTTTTTCACCTTCCATCTTCATCTCTCCTGACACCTTTATTGAGGCAGCGTGAGACCGTAAGCTCTCCAGCCTATTCCTGCATCTTCCTGCTAAGAGAAAGATGGGCCATCTGCCAAGAATCTGCAGTTTGAAGAGTCATTGCACAATTACGTCAATCCCCACGAATCCCAAAAAAGGGCGGAGAAATGCAGATGGCAACTCTTGCTCACCCTTGAAGAACAATTATATATGTTTATCCCATTTAATCAGTTTGGTATATGGCAGGAAAACTTTGTTAGTGGCAGAGGAGATTGTTAGTTGCGTCATCCTACAATTTTAAAAGGGATATATCATTAAAATCTGACTTTAAAGGGATAGTTCAACCAAAAAAAATTCAATTGTCATTGTTTGCTTGTTGGTTTCAAACCTGTTTGAACTTATTATACTTGTTATTCTGTTGAACACAGAAGAAAATATTTTGAAGAATGTTGAAAGCAGGTAGCTTTTTCCTGTTGCGAGCTTTTTTTGTGCAATAGATGCCAACACATACCTTTTTTCAACAGAATTGTTACATTTAGATCTAATAATTGGGTCTGTTGCAATTACCAACCCAGAAAATGTGAAAATTCTTTCTATGGAAGCATGTTTTAAACTTAAATACATTTGCTACCTTTGTAATATATGAAAAGGATCTTATTTTGTAATATCGCAGCTCAATCTGCATGTCTCCACCTATGGGATCATTTCAGTTTTTATCTCAGCATTTTATTTTATTTTAAAATGGTACCATTTGTTAAAAGGTTTTAAATATTGATAATAATATAATTTATGTTCATAATAACAGGTCATGATACAATTTTTATAATAATAATAATAATAATAATAATAATAATAATAATTATTATTATTATTATTTTATTTTTTTATTAGTCATGATACCATTTTTAAATAATAACAATAATAACAATCATGATACTATTTTTAAATAATAATAATAATAATAATAATAATAATAACAACAACAACAACAACAACTATTATTATTGTTATTATTAGTATTATTAATAATAATAATATTAATAATAATTTAAATTATTATTAATATTATTAGTCATGATACCAGTTTTACTACTACTACTACTAATAATAAAAATGATAATAATAATAATAATAATTATTATTATTATATTATTATTATTAGTATTATTATTATTATTTTTATTATTATTATTATTATTTGTCATGATACCAGTTTTACTACTACTACAACTACTACTACTACTACTACTACTACTAATAATAAAAAAAATAATAATAATAATATTAAAATTATTATTATTATTATTATTATTATTATTATTAGTCATGATACCATTTTAAACAATAACAACATCAACAACAACAATAACAATTGTTATTATTATTATTATTATTAATAATAATAATAATAATAATAATAATAATAATATGTTATTAATAATATAATTTTTAACAGTGATTATTTAGCAGTTTATTATTATTATTGTAAATATTTTTTTTCAGATTCAGCTACCAAAAAACGTGTGGGATTTTAATTTAAAAAATGTTTTTACTAATAAACATTACATAAATAAAACAAAGTTAGGCTTTTCTGTCCATGCTGGTCAAGTCAATTGAATAGAATATAAACAGACACACAGCATACCATTTATTATGTATCTGTGTATGATTTTGACATTTCTAATTTATATTTTATTATACTTAATAAATTTGTCCATTAATGCGAAATCATGCCACAGATCAAAAGTTATCGTTTGGACAAATGTTATATATATATTTTTTATTTTCAAGCTGGTCATAACATTTGGAAAGTTAATTAAAATTAGTTTAGTTGCATTTGACTCGTCACACACAATTTTATTCTAATAAAATACCTATTTATCTAAGGTCTTGTTGCGCAGCTTCAGCCTTTATTTAACAAACAAGAACTGCTGATTAAGTTTCCTCTATTTTCAGCAATGTATAGATGTAATTTTAGCGCTCTTGATCGGGCTGCAGGCTTTGACCCAAATAGGCCGCACTGTGGACTCCCAGGTGTGAGCGAGCTGAAAACTTCCTGCAAGTCTTTCTCTCAGTACCATGGTACCCTTCATGAGTGAAACAGAACTGCTGTACAGGCTTGTGTGTTTCAGTAAGTGGGTCGGCCGGGGCTCTGGTGGACTGGTGGTGCTGCAGGCGTCTCTTCATTAGCGGCAGGGTGGTGTCAGAGGGCCCAGGTAATGCGCTCCCTCGGCACCCAGGCGAACGGGATGCTCATTAATCAGTGGGACGCGGCAGCAGAGCCCAGAACATCATTAGGCCCTGAAACAGTATGGGATACGGGGGTCACGCTCTCTTGACCCTGCATCAATAAGGCCTGGGAGAGGGAGACTGTCGTATGGTGATGATGATAGTGTGGACCAAACAGGGGAAGAAAGAGACAGAAAGGGAGACTGTGGTTATTATTGAGCAAGATCTGTTTGCTTAGTGTTGGTCGAAGCCAAACATCGATGTCTTTTGTGGGTTGTTGGGAAGACGGACAAATTGTATGGTTGTATAATGTCAAAGTGAATAGTCAATAGTACATATAAAAAAAATCAATAGAGGTGACCTGGAAATTCCCACTGTGCGATTTGTAGTTTTGTTTTTATTTATAATATATATATATATATTTTTTTTTTCTATTAACTACTGATAACATCTCTTTAACATCTTCTCAACTACTGATAACATCTGTTTAGTTTTTTGTTTAGTTTTCTTATTTTGTGTCTTATGTTTAGTTTTTTCATCTCGTTTAGTTTTGCTTTCATTTTTGTGTTTAGTTTTGTTGTTTTTGTTGTTTTTTTGTTTAGTTTTGTTTTTCTTTTTTGTTAATTTAGTTTAGTTTTTCTTTTTGTTTTGCTTTGTTTTTTGTTTACTTAGTTTAGTTTTTCTGGTTTTGTTTTGTTTTTGTTTAGTTTAGATTTATTTGTTTTTCTTGTTTTGTTTAGTTTTTTTGTTTAGTTTAGTTTTGTTTAGTTTAGTTTTGTTTTTCAGTTGTTTTGTTTAGTTTTAGTTTAGTTTAGTTTTGTTTTTTAATTAGTTTTTCTTTGCTGTGTTTTGTGCTTTGTTTTGCTTTGCTTTGTTATGCATTTTGTTTTGCTTTGTTTTGCTTTGTTTTGTGCCTTTTTTGTGCTTTGTTTTGTGTTTTGTTTTCCTTTGTTTTGTTTTGTGCTTTGTTTTGTGCATATTGTTTAGCTTTTCAAAAAATAACAAATGAGTGCCATGTGTTCTGTCTTTTTATATAAATGTTTAGACAACACAACATTAGTATATAAACTAGTATTTATTATTTTTGAAAGAAATAAATATTTGGTGGGGCATTTTTGTGTGAATTTTGCATGTTCTCCCGTGTTTGCGTGAGTTTCCTCCGATTGCTCCGGGTTCCCCCACAGTCCAAATGCATGCACTATAGGTAAATTGAATAAGCTGAATTGGCCTGTAGTGTATTTGTGTGCTGGGTTGCAGCTGGAAGGGCATCTGCTGTGCAATAACATATGCTGGATTAGTTGGTGGTTCATTTCGCTGTGGCGACCCCTGATTAATAAAGGTACTAAGCCGGAAAAAAAATTGAATGAATGAATATTTGGTGGGATAACTTGTAATTTTCAGTTACAACAACTGGAAATGTTTGATATTCTGTTTGACATTATTTGACTTGAAATTTGGAAAAAAATATATAGAATAAAACAAATATTATCAATTTATTTGAACCCATTCCTGAGTCTGTTCAGTGTTGATTCAGTTTTGCTAAATCAGTGTCATATATTATATTTTCATCCAATATGAAAGAAATTAGATTTATTATTAAATGAATAATTTTAGAGTGGATTCACTTCAATAAGTTATCAAAGTGTATGACATAAAATAAGGAAATATATCTATAGGTAGTACAAAAATATCTGTTAAAGAACAAGTTGTGTATTTAGTGATTCACAGAGTTTATTTTTGGTTATTAATTGCATTATGAGGCTTTTTATCTCCACTTTGTAGGCTTTTGATCTCAAAAATTCAACTCTGCAGTTTAACAAAGGTATCTCTACTGATATTTTAGTCATTTGAAACAATATATTGTGAGAACAAAAGTCTGTAAAATAACAGAACAGTACTGCAATTTATTAACCAGGTTTTTGTATCATAATTTACAACAAAACCCAGTTAATATACGACTTCAAGCTATTAAAAATAGCAATAAAAGTAACGTTTTCCAACTTTTTAATATCAAAAGTTGTTGAAGGAAAAAATAAAGGTTCCATTATGCAATTCTAAAGCATACATAAATCAAAGAGAGAGAGAAAACCATAAATCTCCAAATTTGGTAAAGCTGTACAGAAAATAATATTTTCAATTCAGTTCAATATTTGTTGTCATCTGATTGTGACTTTTAAACCCCATCAAATCAAGTCAATGTTAACATTGTGAAGTTCTGTTTAATAACAAACGGATCTTATTTTTATTTCTTTCAGATCTTGGTGAACTCCATTACCCAGCCTGCACTGCTGTATGAGAACGTGGTGGTGAGCGAAGGGAGCCCAATTTTAAGAGACATGCTGTTCAGCCCTGACCACCAATACATCTACACGCTCGCAGATAAAGAGGTAAGACTTCAGGGACTTTGATGTTTGAGTGTGTTTAATTTGTCCAGAATTTTCCAAGGACAGCAGTCTGGTTTGGTCACGCACCCTAAAAATCCCCAAAGACGTAAAATAGACAGGAAAAACATACACTCACATAAGGAAGGTTCAATTGGAGGTTCAATTGGAGAGATACTTTTTAAATTTTCTTCCCCAAAGAAAATTCCCTGACAAATAGAAGTAGGGAGTTCTCTCTTAATGTTTGGTTTTTAAAATGCTTTTTTTCATAGGAGCTTTTTGTAGTAACATTTGAAGATTTGTGTGCATTTGGCAGATGCTTCAAGATTTTTAAGTTCAATCATTCACTGGCAAAACTATGACTTTGGATTTCTGTTTTAAAAATCACTGTTTTTAAGATGCTTATTAGAATGCTTTTCTTTTGCCTTCTAGTTCAACTTTTAAAAAAAACGGCTTTATTTTATTTAGAAACGTTTATTTTTATGGCAAAAACATGTTTTCTATAATAATAATAATAATAATAATAATAATAATAATAATAATAATAATAATAATAATTACAACAACAATAATGATTGTATTATTATTATTATTATTATTATTATTATTATTATTATTATTATTATTATTATTATTATTATTCATAATAAAAAAGACCATTTCATTAATAACATATTTTTTAAACATTTGTGAAAAATTTTATACAATTAAAAAACTATAATACTATGATAATACTAAAAGTTTTATATTATTGTTATTAATATTAATATTAATAATAATATTAATAATAATAATAATAATAATAATAATAATAATAATAATAATAATAATAGTTATTATTATAATAAATGTTCATAATTAATAAACAATACAATTTAAATTAAGATTTTTTTCAAACATTTTTTGATACTTTATTACAATTTAATGATAAAAATAACAATAATAATAATAATATTAATAATAATAAGTATAATAATATTCATAATAATAATTATAAAAATAGTTTTATATGAAAAATAATATTACTACTACTACTTCTACTACTAATAATAATCATATTAAAATATTTGTTTAAATTATAGCAATAATAAAAATAATAATAATAACAACAATGATATTATTATTATTA